TGATTATCCACTTTTCAAAAAGCAAAGACTAGTTCTACTACTTGATGAGTAGAACCTTGCAAAGCTGATATTTTTCTTTTGTATTGCTCAGTCTTCCTAGTTTGCATTTTTACACTGTTAACAGATTTTCTTTCTTCTTTATTCCTACAGAGAGCATACGACACCTCTCTTCTCTCCTAAAAATGTACACCTACACTGGCCGCAAGATTTTAGCTTCTCCTTTAAAAACTAAAAAGGTTACTCAATAGAAATAAAAATTCCCATTATATAAAATAAAAATAAAGGTAAAGCCAAAGGGACTAGTGATAAGAGTTGTAAATAACACTCAATGTAAACTCCAGAATTTCAAATTTAATTTTTTTCAATCCTAGAAGGCATGGGACAAGCCTCAGCTTACATGCAAAATGAAATCATGGAATCGTAGAATCATTTAGGTTGGAAAAGACTCCAAGATCATCAACCTTTGACTGAACACCACCATGCCAACTAAACCATGACATTAAGTGCCATGTCCAGTTGTTTTTAAACACTTCCAGGGATAGTGACTCCACCACCTCCCTGGGCAGTCTGTTCCAATGCTTAACCAAATGATACATCACATCCATGTTAAGATATATGCTTTACTAAAATACTTTGAAGTATTAATCCCTTGTGTACAACTGAGGAGAGATGAAATACGCATCATATTGCAGGAAATTGTTGTACTTCCATAGCCACCAAAGGACCACTGACAGTAGGATAAATTCTTTTATCAGATAACTAAACCTCAGGTTTTCTACCCCAAATATTTGGAATGTGTTTTGAATTATTATAAGTCATGATCTGGTTAAAATGATCCATTCAAGGTTTCCTATAATGATAATTTTTATTTACCTTTTGATGCATTTATGAGTTTTAATTTCATGATATTAGACTGTAGCATTAACAATGTAGTAAAAAGTATTAAAACTCTTTCATGTTTCCCGGCCTAATTTAAGAGTCACACTGGTGATTTCTGAATTAGGCCATGTATCTGTTTGTTGTTGAAGGGATTTGTTGCCTCCCTTTATTTAACAAAACAACGTGATTAATATCAGTCTGCAGAGACACCTGGACAGACTGGAGAATTGGGCTGATTCCAGTGGGATGAGGTTCAACAAGACCAAGTGCCGGGTCCTGCACTTTGGCCACAACAACCCCCTGCAGCGCTACAGGCTGGGCACAGAGTGGCTGGAGAGCAGCCAGGCAGAAAGGGACCTGGGAGTTTGGATTGACAGGAGGCTGAACATGAGCCAGCAGTGTGACCAGGTGGCCAAGAAGGCCAATGGCATCCTGGCCTGGATCAGGAATGGTGTGACCAGCAGGAGCAGGGAAGTGATCCTTCCCCTGTACTCTGCGTTGGTGAGGCCACACCAAGAGTGCTGTGTCCAGTTCTGGGCCCCTCAGTTCAGGAAGGATATTGAGGTGCTGGAGCAGGTCCAGAGAAGAGCAACCAGGCTGGTGAAGGGACTTGAGCCCAAGTCCTATGAGGAGAGGCTGAGGGAGCTGGAGTTTTTTAGTCTGGAGAAGAGGAGGCTTAGGGGAGACCTCATCACTCTCTTCAACTACCTGAAGTGAGGTTGTAGCCAGGGGGTGTTGGTCTCTTTTCCCAGGCAGCTATCAGTAAGACAAGAGGGCATGGTCTTAAGCTGTGCCAGGGGAGGTTTAGGTTGGATATTAGGAAGGAATTCTCTACAAAGAGGTTAATCAGGCATTGGAATGGGCTGCCCAGGGAGGTGGTGGATGTACCGTCCCTGGAGGTATTTAAGATGAGATTGGATGTGGCACTTAGTGCCATGGTGTAGTAACAGCGGTGGTAGTGGATCAAGGGTTGGACTTGATGATCTCAGAGGTCTTTTCCAATCCGGCTGATTCTATGATTCTATGATGCTATAAATGTTTGAGGTAAAAGCAGAGAAGGACTGTCCTGCAACCAAAGAAAATTTAGGACAAGTATTACAAAAAAATTCCCTTCAGAAATTGATGTCTACAGAAATACCTTCTTCTGGGTTAAAAAACTTATGTTCAGCAGCAAAAACTAGATAAGAAGAGTGGTTCTTATCACCTTTCCCACACAGACAGGCCCTTGATATTAGTGTGCCATTTAGTCATGCTCTGGACTGACTTGGGTTAAAAAGATTTCCCTGCCCAGAAAGCATTTAAATACTTCTGCTCTGTGAAGTATTGAGGGAAAACAAATGCATAATGGGTTCATCTTCTACATTCATTACCTAGGATCTGAAAATGGAGGAAAGTTTTATTGTAGTGTTTTTAGTATTTATTGTAAACCATGGCAGTCACTCAAGTAAGATATTATATTTTAAAATGCTTCATAAAAATGCGTTACTGTTAAGATTCTTAGATTAAACAATTTGAGACCATTGTTTGTATTTATACCCAAAAAGTGGACATTTCCGATCCCATTACAAAAATGTACTTGATCCTTTTTTTCTTCTCTTACGAGGGCTGCATTTTAATGAGGCCTCACCCATGCCAGTACACTGCGTTTCCTGGTACCACTTTTCTTCTCATGCAGTGTTTGGTTAAATACTTCAGCGGAATATGAAAATGAGAGCATTGCATAAGTCTAGTTCCATTTTTTGACAAACCTTATACAGACATATTTTTAACTTTGTAATGAAACATCTTTAATATATACTTACTGTATCAATGCTTAATATATCAAAGGGAGATTAGTTGAAAAGTACGTCTCGAAGACCATCAGCAATAGTTGAAGTGAATCAAATGTGTAAATTAAAAATGTGTTGTTGCTAAGTGGAAAAATGAAAAAAAATCAATGCATGATTATCATGCTTGGTGTTTTTTCTGAGTAACTCCATTGTTGTGAAAGGAGCCACATTAGGTATAATCCAGAACCCAGAAAACTGATCTACCAGACTTCCCTTTGCCTCTTCACCAGTGGTCTCTGTCCTGCAGGACACTGCATGTGCCTGCACCCAGCACAAGATGCTGCAGGACTGGGACTGGAACATTCACCACCTCCCTGTATGCCTCTGGAAAGCCTTCCTCTAGCAAAGGTCTCCCATTATTGCACTCTGTAATTTAAAAAGTAGAACTAAGTCTTCTGCAAGAGTGGTACCATATCCTCTAAATTACCTGACAAGCAGAGATCATGCAGGCAGCAGACTGGGACTAAACATGCCTTGCTGCAATAGTCTCATTGGGGGAAAAACTGTGTAAAGTTTCTTGCCATTACCATGTTATTAATTATGGCTTTAATGTGTCATCTATACTGCACGTTGGAAAAATTGTAAAAGTGTTCTAATAATAATTTGCATTAGAGTATTGATTGTAAAACTTTCCTGATAGTAAGAAATTTCACACAGAATAAAAAGCTATCTTAAATCAGAGGAGCTGTAGAAGAGATGTATTTTGTAAAAATCTATTCATAAAATTTTCAGCACACATGTATATATACACATATATATGCATGTTTGCATATATATATAATTAAATTATATTTTGTACTTGTTTCTGGGATGTATTAAAAATTATGTATGTTTAATCTTCAAAATATATTTTATTAACTAGATTTTCAAATATTCTCTTTAGAATGAAAACTGCTTTGCTGTTCTCAAATTAATAATTAAATTTATATTTTAAGTGGTGCCGTTAATGAATATTTACAAAAAGAAACACTAATTTGGAGAAATACATTAATAATTTATTAGAAAGGAAAAAAACTTCTTTCTTCTGATTGGCCCCTTAAAAATCACCTTACCTTTTATTGTTTCTTTACTCTAAATAGAAATTTAAATATGTTCAATGATTTATCAAAGCAATGTGTTTGCAAATAATATTTATTGGTAACATTTACATCTTATATAATATTTTGCATCTTTTGAGGCAGAACGGTAAGTTTTATCTTTGTGCCTTTACAAACTGGGGAGAATTTTGAATTTTTGCTTGCAAGGTAACCTTCCAACAAAAAGGTATTTTTTAATGTTTATGTTCCTAGTGTTTCAGACACCTTCTGCCTCATCAGAAACCTCATGTGATGGTAGTTGAAGTACTTTCAATGTTAACCCACATTCCCCAGCACACGCTTCCTGAATTAGAGTCCCAGCAGAAACAGAATATTTAGCACGGAGCTGCAGACAGCTGTTTGTGCCTGGAAGGATCAGAGGGAACTGTGCTGAAGGCGCAGCAGTCCCTCTCTAAGTGCAAAGGACTCTCCACATTAACTCACAGAGAGGAAAAATGGAGCCAAGATAGAAGTCTAAGAGGTTTGCACAGGACCATAGAGGGAAGATGATGGCAGTGATAAGATAAAAAAACTAAAGCACTCCTGTGTCCCACAATCTGGGCTTTTGTGTCACTGATTTTTCATATGTTTCCCTATTAAAATCGGTGTGGAGGGCAAGATATAGCCTGTAGTCTTTTTAACTGAGAAGCTTCGGAAAGGAAACCGATCACGAGCATTTGTTCTGCTAGGCTCAGCCTAAAAATTAAACAGTTCTTTGGCTAAATTATTATTTCACATTGCCACCATTCCCAAAGATGACTCATTATCTCTGTTGAAGGCTTCATCAGCCTGAAAGATGAGTGCAGAAATAGAAGTCCTCTGGAGGAGCAGCAGGCTCTGCCATAGAACAGCAATGTCTATCACTGTCACAGTCATTTTCTGGTGTGGTTTGCACTGATTCAAGATACAGGGATAAAATGTCTGCATTTGAATAATTGTTTTTGTCCTGTTTTATACAGCTGATTTTTAGTATGTGTCACTGCATTGAATGTTGGTTCATACAGTAAAATCATATTGGAAAATCTGCAGACATAAATTTAAGTATTTATTAAAAGCTGAGTGTAGCAAAGTTAAGTTGATGTTAACTACCATGATCACTTGCCTGACTCTTATCAGCAGCTTCCAGGTATGTTTAGGAACATATTGCATGAGACAGTATGTGACTTTTGAGAAATGTCTACACACAAGCTTTCATAAACCTTTATTCTGTCTTTAGAATTTGGAATGATGGGAGATCATACAATTAAAAGTCAGCGACCTCGATCTGTTCATGAGAAAAGGGTCCCTCAGGAACAAGCTGATGCTGCTAAATTTATGGCACAAACTGGTAATACATCAGTTACATTTTTCTATTTACTGTTGTTAATTTTAGCAAAACCACTGCATGTTTCCATAATCTTTTGCTGCATATTTGTCAGTTTTCTAAGCTGATACTTTTTTTGAATCATTTACTTTTTTTTTTCACCAGTTAAAGTCCATAAATAAAGTAGCTGAGAATTAGGTAGGTCATACAAAAACATGCACTGTGAATGTGGATACTGAATCATTTAACGTAAGCATGAATTTCTTTGGTAGTAAAAGAAGTCTTACATGTACAAGACACAGGACAGCTCACTGTGACATATTAACATTTTTTCAAAGACGATAAGAACATGCTTCAGAATGTCTTTATAAATAGACTGAGGTCTAATCCCAGCTTTAGGCATTTATCAAATTAATTAATTACTGAGGTGACTTTAATGTGCATGCATTCAGCATTTACTATCTTTGGCCCAGCACGATGCTCTATTCTCTAGTTTCCAGATTCATAATTGCTAAATGAAATTGGCCGTAAGTAGTTTTTAATTGGATGTGCAAATTATCTAACAGTTTTTCATCTAAAACATATTTTCTAATTTTGTTTGAGCAACTTCATCTTCTTTATCTAAAGATACCAAAATGATGTTGGAAACCTGGAGCTGAAGCAATTAAAAAAAAAAAAAAGGCAAAAAAAAAAAAAAAGGCCTGTTTACCAACAGTTACCACAGCTGTCTTTGAGGTCAATAATAAAATTTCAGTGAGTTGAATTAAGCTCTTATGCAGCAAAACTACTGCTCATTTTGGCATCAATGAAAATACCTGTGTCTGTTGGTAAAATCTAACTCTTTATTGGTACCCTACACACTCCATTCCAGTAAGTTACTGCGTTGACAATCTTGTGCCCCGTATTTTTGTATGGATTTGAAACAACTTACTCTATATTCCATAGTTACTAACCTAGAATATATGCCTACATTAGTCATACATAATGCTTCCAGTTTTTATGCACTTAAGTAAAAGAGCTATGATTGCTTCTAGTTATATTGCATGTTGACTTCCTTAGTAATAGGGTGCTTTACTTAACAGATTTGCAGAAATCAATATATTAAGCAATCTAAATACATGTATAGCCAATCAGTGTAGATCTGTTTGGAAAATAATTTAGAATATAGAAGTCTGTTTACCTCCTATTAATCTATAAGACTGCTTTTACGGCTAACTCCTAGTTACTGCTGAAAGCAACTGTAGTGGAAGAAGGTAGCCTAGAGTTTTCTATGCCTGCAGGCAGTTTTTGTTCAGGGAAGTAGAACTTATTACTTACATACCTAGCTCAGACATAGAATGTTAGTTGCTTACTACATAGAATAACACCTCTGCTTTTATGCTGCTTCCTGAATTCATACAATTATTAAAAAATAAGTAAAATTATCTGGTTTCTTTCCTCATATAAATCCCTAAAACTTTAATAATATCACTTAAAACCTGTATCTGATGATTTCTAGTCATGCATTGCAGTGCATCTATTATGGGTGTTAGAGAACTGCATTATAAATGAAGCACTTATACCATCACCTTCTGATAGATTGTGTGTGTGGAGTGGGAGATGAACGTTCAAAATTATACAGGCTTGGTTTTCAAGGTCCTGTTCTGAAAGCATGTGAGATGTATGAGCATACAGATTTACATGCCCAAGTTTGAGGAAATCTGTATTTTCCATGTTGTAGGTTAACACATTTCAAGTAATACTGTGCTCTTTTTGAACATACTAATTTTCATCTCTTCATTTTGATTTTTTTTGTAGTGATCATTGCATATTTTCTTCACCTCTAATGCATTAATTTTTCTTGCAATAAAATTACTGTGATATCTTCTTAAACTGATTCATAAGGGTTTTTTTCTAACACTCATATCTCATTAAATTATCCATGTACTTAGAAGTCCTAATAGTAAATGAATACTGAGTTAATGATTTTTTTTTATTTTGAGCCTATTTGATATTTTATTTTGTGTAGTAATAAAACAGATGCAAAAGTGCAACAAAATATTTGTATCATTTAAAAAGACAGAGAGATAGGAATAGAAAACTGTCCTGGAAAAGATTCATGAAAAGCATTTAATACTATTAGTATGGAGTACTTAATCCACCAAGTTTTACTGGGAATGGAAGAGTTTAAAATGTGGTATTAAAATATGCACTTTGCTGCTTTGGGGGAGTGATATGAGGCATTAAAAAAATTATTAAAAATATTTTGTGAATAATTTATTGTTCTGTATTTGTCCTTTTATGTGTTTGGATTGATCCTTCCCTTAGGTGTTATGGGATTTAGAGAGTATAATGCAGGTAAGTTTTACACAGATCAATGAGGCCTTCCGTACAGTAAGTTATGTTTCCTCTTACATGTCAAGCAGCAGGGGATAATAAGGGTTTGGTAGCTTGCCAGTAGCTAATTTGAGATTCTAGATCTAATATGATAGATATAAAAATGTAAGAGTTCTTGAATAACAGAAAACCAGAAGGAAAATAAAAAAGTAGCCATTTTGAAATTTTCATTTCAGAAAAGAAAAAAATGGAGAAAAGATAAAGCAAGCAATGGAAAATGTATTTGCACATTATGCAATCAAGGTTTACTCTAGAAAATATGAAAGTCTTTACGTGGTTAAATTGAAAATGGTAAATTAACTATGATATGATATGCCCTCCTTTTAGATCTTTCAAAATAAGTAATAATCATACAACAGTACAAAATACTCTGGAAATCTAAAAATTACCAAAATATTATAATGCACTGAACAAAAGAAAGCAAGGCAGCTGGTGAGGTAACTGGTTCTTTATTTTCTTTTAATATCACTCTTTTTGCAACGTACATCATGTTAGTGTGGAGGACCTTCCTCCAGCAAATGTTTAAGCATTGTATCCTTTATGTATGATAAAATATATCGAGAATTTATACCTATTTTGAATGGACAGTACATATATCTGCAGAAGTTCTAATAGTTACTATTATTTCAAAATTCACTCCATACAGTCACACTTCTTAGGATCATGTTGCTGCTATTTTTCATCATATTCCAAAGGCTAAGAGCAACATTTTTATCACTTTAAGATATCAAAAATTTAATTTTTTAAATACTTCATTTCTGTATTTTGTTAGCTATGCAGTGTAACCACGTCTGCGTTGGATAATTTACACTGAGTATATATGACTGTTTTATATGATGAGGAATGTCTTGAGAAATATAGTTTTGACTTTTTCTACTGTTTGACCTCTTATCTAAACCATTTTAACAAAGGCAAAGTCAAACTTCAAAGAAGTAAGAAAAGACATAAAATACTACCCTAGAAACCCATGCTAATACTGGTCTTTTTACCATGTAAATAGGGCTTATATTGCGTATGTTATAATTCTTAACATCCACCCACATATTAAATTTATTAACCATGTTATATCATCTAACCTGAACCCAAGCCACGTAACAACCCAAGCCTAATCAAAGTTCTAAGTTCATATTAGAACAATTCTTAAAACAATAATCAGTGATTATTCTTTTAATTTTTTTTCCCCTAAAAAAGGAAATTCCTACAAAAATCACTGGTGAATTTTATGAGGTAAAAACCTCATAATTTTGTCCTTGTCTATAGAAATTTATAGAACTGCATACAATGTTATGAAAAGCAAAGGGATTTTTGTGCTAGTTATAAAGCCTTTTGTCTTACTGATGAATAAGAAGCACTTCTTTTTTTAAGCATTGAGTAGCCTCAGGATTACTTCTTAGAGCTGTAGCAAAGAAGACATTTTGCAAAGGTTTCATGCTTGACCTCTAATAAAACCCCAAACAAACAAACAAAAAAAGAGAACTTGGGCAGATTCGCAGATTCTTACTACAAAAGCACATTTTCAAGAAATAGTATGTCATTTACTGTGTTCATGGAAGATAGCACCTAGTTTGCAGACAGTCTCTCAATTGTGATCAGTATCAAAACGTTTGGAAGACTGGAGGTGTATTGAGATAACTAAAATTTTAAGCAAGCTGTTCAAGTCTGCAGATTGTATAACACTAGTGATTTTAAAACAAAATCCCACTTGTTAGAAAAAGGACATACATTTAAAAATCAACAGAGACTTCAACATGCTGTTTTACATTCTGATTTTTAGTGGAAGAAGCTAAACATCAATGCATAATTATTTACTCAAATTGTTCAGTGAGGTATATTTCCATTATTTTTGCTTTTGCTTTCTGAGAATACTCAAGGGATCTAGTTTTCTGAACATGAATTCCTTTGGAAAAGGAATTGTGTGTATAGCTGTTCATGGAAATTAAACACTCTTTCCCAAGCATCCATGCAGGAAGACTTTATGCATTACTTGCTTTCAAAAAATAAAAATAATGTAATGTGCTATCTCTCACCAGTGAACAAATTTCCTCTTTTCTAATATACAGTATTAATAAAACACATGTGACAATTTTAACATAGTGGTATGTACTGTGCAGTAATGAGGTCTAGCACACTCAAGAATTGAGCACACCTGTAGGTTAAAAGCAAGCAGTAGATCTGTGCAGCAAAAGATCAAACCAAAGTTACTCTCCAACAGTTCTGGTTAAAATTTATTTCTTTTCCAGGGAACTTCTTTCAAATGCTAAATAACTCCTCCACTACAGAAAATATTAGACATTAGGGGTTTGGTTTGTCTGGGGGTTCTTTCACTGGAATTCCCTTACTGTTAGGGTTCCTTAAACTGTTACTGAGCATTAATTCTAGAGTGATAAGTACAAATTTCAAAGACAAATCCTTTGCTATTATATAAAAAGACTTTTCAATGTTCTTTTAGCATCCTGAGGGCAGTGTTTCTGAAGTGTTGGAGGGCAGTAGTTTTCATAAAGTTGTAAATAATGCTAAGAGATCAAAGTGTTCCCCTCTGACAGGCGTTATGTGACTGCAGCACTGTAGGTGTCTTTGTTTCCTATTCATTGCACATTTTCACAGCTGCTTTACTCCATGAATTTTTAAATATTTATTTTGGTGTGTTACTTTTTCGTTTGATTTGTAAGAGCAGATAATAATGAGCTTCAGGAAAAAAAAAAAAGAAAAAACAAACAGAAAACTTGTGTCATTAATACTTATGTCTATATTCATGTTTGTTTGTTGTCTTGAATACAGGTGAATCTGGTGTTGAAGAGTGGGCCCAGTGGAGTACGTGTTCAGTTACTTGTGGTCAAGGGTCGCAGGTGCGAACCAGAACTTGTGTATCACCTTACGGGACACACTGCAGCGGCCCTTTAAGAGAATCAAGGGTTTGCAATAACACTGCCCTCTGTCCAGGTAGTGTTAGCAGCCAATAAATAAAATTGTGGATGTTTTTTAACTGTGTAATGATAAGAATTTGAAACTATATAATTTTTTTATTATTAATATGGTTTTCATAAGGGCATTTCAATTAAAGAAGAAAATTGTAATTCTCTTCAGCTGTGAAATCTTTTCATGTAGGTTGTTATTTTTACTTTCAGAACAGTCAAGATATGGAAAAAGAGCCCCTTTTTCTGACAGTTTCAGATTTTTTCAAAAAGTCTACATTCTTTCATTTTCATTCAGAAAACAGAAGGTAGCATGAGTACAAAAGACAAATCAGGGAAGAGATTCAGATCATAAAAACATTAAGAAACAGAGTTAAATTAATAGGAGGGTGAAGTTAACACATGTTATTTGACACCATTGTGTGATTTTGTCATTTAGAATACTGTCTTCTAGGCAATGGGCCAGACAGTTCACTGCAGTTACGTTTTCATGGACTTCCCTTTACATTGTTCTGGCAAGAAAGGGCAACAGCTACCCATCAAAGGAAAAAAAGATCAGACAAAAGTAACTCTCTTACGTCTGACATGTGGTAAGGGTCATGAGTATCTTGCATCACAGTTTTCCTGCTCCTTTTTTCCAAGAGATCTGGACATCCTTGGAGTTCAGCAGCAGTTATACAGTAAGGAGAAGAGACAGGCGTGTACAGGTTTGTTGCAGAAAGGGCACATCTTTCTTTAGACTCTGTCTGTGGATCTGATTAATCTGTGATGTGAAACAAAAGGGAAGGCATGTGCCCCATGACTGTATTAATTTCCCTCTGCTGTGACTGCAACGCAAAAAAAAATATATATGCCACCCTCGAGATGTACAAATTCCTCAGCTCCCTGTAACATTTGATCCCAACAGGGTGGTGAGCTGTCTTCAGCTTCTGGGGAAACTCATTCCGTTTTCTAAGTAAACTAAACTGGCAGAGAACCCCTGGACTCTGTCTCAACGAGTAGTAATATATAGAATCAAACTTTCATGCTGTTACTTTGTGTTGAAAAATATCCAATGGAAAGGGCATATGTGATCCCATCAGAGGTTTTCTGTCAGCATTATAAGCATTTAGGGGACCTCTGTAATGGAAAACAACTTAAAAGATTGTCTCTGGATAAAGCATGACTGTAATAAGAACTGCTCTCAGCACCTAAAGCCTTTCTACCATGTTTAGGACAAGCAATTCACATGAGATTTTCTAATCTTTTAGAGTAGAAATGCCTAGCTAGAGCTGAATTTTAACACCTGAAGTGTTTCCATACAAAAATGGCAGCTATTTCTAAAATGGTTAAGCTAGCTTAGAGTATGCCAGAGGTGGGATATACTGCAAAAGAACTCTAAACTTGATAGTACAAAAATAAGAAGTGAAAGAAGAGATGTCAAAAACAAAAGAACAAACATTGCAAAAAATCAAAGATAGATTTAAAGATTTATTTGAAGCTAGGTGAAGAGTGAACATGAAAACACAGTCTAGCTCTCGCAAAGAAAGGTAGTTCTGCTTGCTTTCTTGCTTATTCTTATTAAATAAGAAGAGGAAAGGTGGTTAACTTTCAAAATTGGCAATCTTCATTGTCAAAGTAAACTGGAAAAAAGTTAATTCTTAAAAATCATGTTGTCAAGCAAACTTCTAAACAATGCTCACCCAAAAGGACTATTCTATACTTCTCAGGTCAGAAAGGAGCTTTTTTCTTACATCCTTCCACCATTTTAAACGTTTGCATGCTCAAAAGCTCTATTTTGGCTGGTAATTTTTTCTTTGTCTTGTCCTATTGCAACAAGACCTATCATAAAGCTTATCCCCATCTCTTTTAGAGGCTCCCTCTAAGTACTGACAGGCCACAGTAATGTGTTCACGAAGCCTTCTCTTCTGCAGTCTGAAAAATCTTAACTCTTTTAACCTATGTTCATAGGAGAGGTATTCCATCACTCTGATCACCTTTGTGGTAATGCTCTGGACCTGCTCCAACCTGTGCTGAGGGCTCCAGAGATGTACACAGGAGTCCAGGTGGGATCTCACCAGAGTGGAGTAAAGGGACAGAATCCCATCCCTCATCCTGCTGACCACACTTCTTTTGATGCAGCCTAGGGTACAATTGGTTTCCTGGACTGCAAGTGCACATCGCTGACTCAGGTCCAGCTTCTCATTCTCAAAGCACCCCAAAGTCCTTCTTCACAGGACTGCTCTCCATCCCTTTATCTCACATCCTGTATTGATAACAAGTTACCTCAAGCTGTGTGCAGGATCTTGTTGAACCTCGTGATGTTCACATGAGCCCACTTCTCAAGCTTGTCCAGATCCCTCTGGATGGTGTCCCATCCCTCAGGTTTATCAACCACGCCACTCAGCTTGGTGTTGTCTGCAAACTTGCTGAGCACGCACTCAATCACACTGTCTATGTCACTGATGAAGATATTTAACAGTACTGCGCCAGTACTACTTACAATGAAAGGTTAATGACCATAACAACTTTTCAGTGTCTATTCAGTTTAAAGCTGAACAAATCAATAGCACTTAAACCCCAATAAAAATCTTCCAAAATATGCTTGTAGGATGAAGGCCAGCATGGCCTCACGCCTCCTCCCACTTCACAGCAGTTGCATATTGTGAACACTGTGGGTGTTCACTTCAACATGATTAGGTTCACAGAGTGGCAGAGAGAAGGGAAAGATGCTCTGCAGTAATCCAAGCTCGATGTGCTAGCAATGTTTTTGACAGATAAGTTGGCAATAATCTGAATATTTTTGTCCCAAATAATGAATCTTGCATCTGAAACTGTGTTATAGAAAACAGTAACTCCTCTGCGGGCCAGCTCTCCATCTGGTGTAATTTGGCATAGCTCATCTGGCTATAATTCCTCAGATGTTATAGGATTTTTTTCCTTTAGAAAGTAAGAAAGAAAATGTAAATGAAATATAAAAAAAAAAAATAAGTTCAGAAGTAAGAAATTTTAAATTAATATGTTCTTTTAAAGCTGATCTGGATAATACTGGGCATTTCTGTAGTGCATTGAACATATTAATTCTCACTGATATTTGTTTGCTGACAATGGTTTTTTGATGTTATGCCTTTTCCATCCTGGACTTTATTATTTGTCTACTGGTTTCAGATATACAAGTCTATATGTGCAAGACGTACTGTGAAATTTTTACTCAATGAGCTAAAATTTGTCATGAAAGATGATTCTGGACCATTCAGACCACAAACAAATAGAGGCTGCTCTAAGTTTGAGTCCACCCAAAGTGGACAAAACGTTTTGTCTTATTTTCAGACACAAACTCACAAAAGAATTATTCTGTGTTGCTGCTAATATGCAGTCACTCTTGCCAGAAGAAATATACAACCTTTTGAGTTAAGACAGTATCTTTAAAGAGCACCTCAGCACTTGTTTTTGTTATTTTTAAATAAAGACAACTAACTTAAAATGCTTTGACAGCATAAAATCAAAATTCCAAATTAAACAATAGACCTTAGCTTGCGTGAACTCTGCAAAGCCTCACACTGTGTCTACGTAGTGTCAAGACCTTTTTAAATTAGTAGTTTTTCTAGAGAATTTGTATTATTTTTGTTTTGCCAAGTTTTATGCCTTTTGAAATTCTTTTTGCATCTGAACATCTTAATCAACATTTGTGGTGTCAGGAGATGAAATTATATCATTGATATTACTGGCTACTGCTTGGAATCTCATCTGACAAGTTAGTTTCTCATTAATTTTTCACATATGATAAAAATTGGGAATCTTAGAGATAAGTTTGGATTTGAAATCTAATGCTTTGCCAATGAGAAAAAACAATTCTTTAGATCATATAGCTGAATCAGCATAGCTGTCAGAATATAGTGCCTGCTGAGAACAGGTGAATCTTAAAGAGTTCCATGCAGATACAGTCATCAGTTTACTAGTTTTAGAAGAGATAGGCTTTCTGCTTTTGTCCAAAATGTCACAGTTAATCAAGGTTTCTAAACTAACTAGATCAAAATCTGTCACTTTAACATTAATTTGGACTCTTCCTGAGTTGTTTTTGTTTCAGTGGTGTTTGGTTGTTTGGTTGTTTGGTTGTTTGTTTTTTTTTTTTTAATATAATGCAGAAGGATGTGATATTTAGAATAAGATAATTTTAATAAAGCTAGCCATATAAGATGTGGTTCTTTCTGACCACTTGTACATGACCAGCCAAAAACCTTTCATTGATTGAGCTGTTATTCAGTGGGTTAAAATCTTCCCTGAATAAAGCTTGACATTTTCTGTCAGGTACAATTTCTCAGAAGTTAGCTAACAAACTTTTTATCTCGACATAGCATCTGAAATGACAATTTTTCTTACTTTTATTGAAAGGCGGTAAAACTTACCTACTTGCAGAATTCCCCTTGATCTTACTGATGAATTTGTGATAATATGGCAGGGAGCTGAGTGTCCTTCTGCAGCCTTGTAACTGAATTTCACCTCGGGAAATGTTATTCTGATCCCTACAAGAAAAGGGTTGTATTTGTAGAAACTGGGCAGGTGATACATGCCTTCAGGGCAAAGGAAACCTATATAGGAGAAGTTCTTTCACAGTGATGAAAAAAATTGAGGACAAACCACAAAATCTATTTCTTCTGTAATGTTGTGAATTTTTTTTTTTTCAGTTTTTTTCAGTTTGTAGAGAACTGTCTTACCAATGCATGTAAGGAATTGTTTTACCAGTACATGCTTAACTCTATATTGTATTAGATAACTTTCTGAGAACATAACTCCAGGTTTTTTCTCTCAAGGCATTGCATATGGTATGTAAGCTCACATGGATACTGTATATTAGTTTCTCCTAGGGTTGAAAATACTTAAGGGAGAGAAAGATTCATATTCTATGATTCTTCATATTAATTTTATGAAATATTTGTGTATAAAAATACTGGTATATGTTTGCAATTTATTGTGTACTCTGAAGGTATCTGGAGTTTGTTGAGTGAACATTTTTCTAAGAGTGATACGTGTATTACTGTGTCTGTTAAATCAGTGAATATGTTCATGTAAGGAAACAGCACATATCTTTTTTGCTGATGTGGTCTGGGAATTTTTGAGAAATATAGTCAAGCACGTGTGCTGCCATATTTCTGCATTTAAGCAATTGAAAAAATTGTAAGATAACTGCCCCAATTTATGATGGGGACAGAGTAATAAATTATGTGATAATTCCTATGGTTTCAAAAGAAAGCTTAGTTTTGATGGCTTATACTTTTTAGACAATGTTGTGCAACATTGCCCTGTTGCAGAAGGTGTATGCCTGATTTTCACAAAGACTAGTCTCCTGAAAATCAGGGCTATTAAACATGTCAAATAAGGCACTGAAGATGTCATAACTATTCAAAAAGGAAGTCATCTTTCTTAAAAGAGTGAAAGAACAGAAACTGTGAAAGTGAGATTAGTTTAAAGATTTGAGAAAATGTTTCAAAATCAAATATGTTTTGGAGAAAATATGCCTTTTAAATTGAAATTATCTAAGGTTTTAAAAGTATTTATTTTCCATTGATAAAGTTTACCTATGTACTGATTTCCTTGAAATTGGCAAAATAATTCCCATTTAAAATATTGATCTTGTTTATTTTCAAATCCTTCTGTTACTTATGTCTCTGTTTCTGGTTAAAATCTGTCTGGTTTGTTGCAGTACATGGCGTTTGGGAGGAATGGTCACCTTGGAGTTTGTGTTCATTCACATGTGGTCGAGGCCAAAGAACTAGGACAAGGTCATGTATACCTCCCCAGTATGGGGGAAGATCATGTGATGGACCTGAAACACAACACAAACCTTGCAATATTGCACTCTGCCCTGGTGAGCTAATATAGCAACTCTCTGCTTTGTTACTGTGCATTTTATGTGGATTGTTTGTGATTTCTTTCATAGCTCTTTGCACATAGGAAAAAAAACCACATTGTCCAAAGTGAGTAGCTGGGTAATATTGTTCATAATTATGACTGGGATTAAAGTATATAATCAGGATGGTAATTCTGTTCAACATACTGCACAAGCAAGCAATTTTTAGTTTCTTTGAGGTACAGTCTCTGTAGGGCACAGTATCTTGTGTAGAAAATCTTGATTCAGGATGGGTCTTGGAGAACCAAAAGGCAAACAACTTCCTGAGTATGGCTTAAAGGGAAATATTCAGAGGTCACACAGTTTGTATTCACCGTATCTGTTTGAATTGTTCACTTAGAAGTTTACTGTAATTTCAAAGACCATCACTAACCAAATAAAAAATGAATGGGCTTCATGTTAAATCTTCCACCCACTAAAACTGAAACTAACTTAAAAAAATCATATGTTCTTTTAAAACTGATTTTTACTTGTTTTGTCTGCAAGTTATAATTAATTTAGACCTAATTTTTCTAAATGTGTGTGTACATATATATATGTGTATATAATATCTGAATATTACAAAAAGTTCAATAACCATAAAGAAGTTATTTATAATAGTCACAGAACCACAAAATCACAGGATATGCTGAGTCGGAAGGGACCCACAAGGATCATCGAGTCCAAACTTTAGCTGTTTGGAGTTTGAACAGTTATTTGTACCTAAATGATTTTCAGAGGAAGTTATATACTGTTATATTTAAAAGTAGCACTTTTAATCTTTTCTCAATGTTAAATGCAATTTGCACATCCAACTTTATAATGGAATCTTCATCTTGAATTCTTTATTTTTTAATGATATTTCTGAAAGAGAAAACTCACATGCTATTTGCTCCTAAAGATAAAGGGAGATGTATGAAATATATATGAGAAGCCACAGAATGAGTTTTCTCTGAAGACAGTATAGTAATTGATTCGATCTTTCCTACCCTAAATAATACTATATAGCCATGAATAAAACTGAAGAGGATGCATTGAAATGTAATTTCCTCAATGGTTTCCTCTTCATGTAAAGCTTTTATGATTAATGAGTGGGGCCAGCTTCCATGTTTGAAAAGATTTCCATTTTCTGCAGAATAAATTATCAGAGCTCAACTTCGTAGCTTCAAAAGCATCTGCACTGAGAAGTGATTCACAATAAAGCATTACATAGAATATTTATATAGAACTTTGGGGAAAAGCCTCAAAAACTCTCCAAGTCACTGTTTGCTGAGATTCTTGGCATTAGAGATACAGACAGTATCTTTGAAATGTTCTGTGGTTCATGTCTGACAGTAGTAAAATAGTTCACCTCCATACTTCACTGAAGAGCGGTGCACCCGTATAGAACAGTATGTTTAAAAAATAACTTAAAAATTCTGCTTCCTGTTTTCATTAACACCTTCAACTCAGGGAGCTGCTATTCCATTCCTCCTTTAGAAGAATCCTGAAACCAGGGATTGGCAAGTGCTCCAAGTGAAGTTCCTCATTTTTAGCAGTGGTGCTTTGATAGCACTAGTAGTTTTAAAACCAGATTTTCAAGGATGAGTATTGTATTAAATTAATTTAGTAAATTAAATTGTATTAAAACCTACATTTTGAGTTTATATGGGGTAACTGCAAGGGCAATAAGGAACTGATGATTGCTGAAGTCTGTATGGATGCAGGATTCTGAATTAGCACAATTAGTCATGAATCATCCCATAATGCTCACCTGTTTCAAACATGCTGTCTAGTCTTGTTATGTATTATAACCATATAATTTTTCATTTGTATGGAATCTTAATTGGGATAAATTTTTTATTATCTTGGTTATTATTATTTTCGTTTACTCCAAGAAGCTGTCTGATATACAAAAGTAAAAATAACAGTCATTAGCCTTCACTCAGAAGACTCTGCATCCACCCTCAAATGCATGGGCTAATGCAAATTACTAAATACAGAACTGGTCATCATATCCGTATTGTGTAGACATTTAACTTACCAGATTCAGAAAGAAGATTGCATGATATGCAAACACAACAGCAGACCCAATGAGGAAGGCAGGCTGTTTCTATCCTCCTACATTTTCCTCAAAAGAATGTTGAAGAACTGAGATCATTTACCTTATAGGGGGGATGAATGACAAAGGTATATTCAGCATTGTAAGTATAAAGAAGAGACTGTGAGACGAAGTGGTAACTTCTGTTTTCCTTTTTCTATTCAATTAAAGGCACCTAGTTTCATGGTCAGGACCAATGATCTTATAAGGTGACTCATCTGAACTATCACTAAAACTCTAATAAATCACTTCAAAAGGCTCAGAATTACATCATACAAGATGGTCCCTCACTTTTGCCTTAAAAGACCAGTCTTTTTTATAAGACCTTCTTTTTCATAAGGCTCTTCAAAATGTATGTGACCAAAATCATTATTTATCCTTTGTTATATTAGTGTGCAATTAGAGGAAAGGGAGTGCTCTTTACTTGAAGAAAAAGGAAAGCAGTCTTTAATTCTTTTATAGCAGCTCATAATGTCAGTTTCTGTATTTGATTGTGGTTAGAAACCAGCTTGGGCCCAACCTGAGGGGCTGTGGTCGCCTGCCTGGCTCCGGTGGTAACTGTGCTGTGTCCATCTCTTTTGTGCCCACCGCGACAGTGGACGGACAGTGGCAGGAGTGGAGCTCGTGGAGCCAGTGCTCAGTGACCTGCTCCAATGGCACCCAGCAGCGCAGCCGGCAGTGCACAGCGGCCGCGCACGGCGGCTCTGAGTGCAGAGGGCCCTGGGCTGAGAGCCGGGAGTGCTACAACCCCGAGTGCACGGGTGAGTACGGAGCGGGTCCAGCCCAGGACAGCGGGCACGTGGCAAGCTTGTCTGGGTGGGCTGCAGGGGGCAGAGCAGGCACCCCCAGAAGGAGGCTAAAACTCAAGAGGTCATAAACTGACACACAAGAAATTTCACCTCAGCATGAGGAAGAACTTCTTCATGTTGAGGATGGCAGAGCACTGGAACAGGCTGCCAAGGGAGGTCATGGAGTCTCCCTCTCGGGAGACATTCAAAACCCACCTGGATGCGTTCCAGTGTAACCTGCTCTAGGGGACCCCGCCTTGGCAGGAGGTTGGAGACTAGATGGTGTCCAGAGGTCCCTTCCAACCCTAACTATTCTGTTGTGATTCTCTGAGACCTAGGTCATCATTCTTATTTATTTGATGAGGTGAAAAGCTAAAGAATGCACCTTGAAAGGCTACATGACAGGCTGCACATACTGCTTTTTGGGTTTATCGCTGTTTAAATGACATTCAGCAGTTTTAGGCAGTCTAGTTTGAAGCTGAAAATACTCAAATTTTCCATGAGTCTAGAAAGTGAATGTATATGAACTGATTTGCTTTTGCACTGAGACTACTTCAGGATCTTCTGACAGTACAAAAGCAGCCTTTCAGGTTGTGTAGATTATGTGTGTACTTACCTTTAAGCCTCATTTTCTCTGTCAGAGCAATGTCAAAATCAAGATCTTGGAATATCACATTCAAAAATGTTTTTATTTAGTTTTTTAAGTGCACATTGTAAATGTGTGCCATTACTGTACAAAAGCACTATACAAGTAAATTAAAAAAAAAGATGAATGTCAGTTTTGCAGACCAAGTGAAAATTATTGTGTGTCAGTTCTTTTTATTTTATCTTGAGACGCCAGTCATTTAGACAACCGTCCCATATTTAGGAGACAAGTAGAGACTTCCTCATCTTTCATGAGCCCACATATACCACTTCTGCCACTGTTAGTTATATCTGGAGGGGCTTTCTTTTCTTATCCAAGTAAAGAACAACTTATGTATTCTACTTTATGGCTTTAATCCTGTCACCACTTGAATTATATTTTTCCAAACAGCAAATGGCCAGTGGAACCAATGGGGCCATTGGAGTGGCTGTTCCAAATCCTGTGATGGTGGTTGGGAGAGGCGGATAAGGATCTGTCAAGGTGCTGCTGTGACTGGACAACAGTGTGAAGGAACTGGAGAGGAAGTTAGACGATGCAGTGAACAGAGGTGTCCTGGTGAGATGAAAATATAATCACTGTTTTTATTTACACTACAGTATGGCTTACTTTAATGGATATCTTGAGGAGAGACAAGATCAATGTCCATAGAGCAGTAGCTGTAAAGAGCCGTATCTGGCCTTGCTTTAGACAAGTCACTGATGTTTTTCTCAGTAGCGTTTATCTAGCTAGGTGTAAAATTATCCCAATTGGATATATGAGCACTGCATCACGTTTTAAATAAACCACAGTACTGAAATAGGAAGGGTTAAGTGAAACACTTTTACTGTAAGCCCATAAGAGCCCCTTACCCCCCTGTACTACTTACAGGAAGGCTATGTTCTGTACTGAGGGCATCAGACCTTAAAGGAACCACATCAAACACTAGACAAAGAGCTCAACACCCATAAATCTCATCCAGAGAAGCCAAGGTAGACATTTGAATAGGTGAAGTAGGCCTAGAGCCAAGGTTTTCTTCAAGCCTGTACGATCAGAACATAGAACAATGGAAAAGACAGAAGGTCACGAAGGTCACCCGAAGATGAGGAGTAAATTCAAGACCCCAGGATGAAGTCAGGCAAGATCTCCCACCATAATATTCCTCAAAATAGAGACCACGCCTCAAACTCTGCCCTGACTCCACCCGCTATGAATATTGTAATCTAATGATGCAATAATATGAATATGCATGTGATTATGTTGTAATTGTGATTAGAAGCTGTATAAATTGCTTGTTTTCACTTGACCACTTTGGAGCTCTTTGCCCAGCCCGAGCTGGGGGCTCCCTGACGTCGCAATAAATACCTTGCAGTTTAAGGACTTAAAATACTGTCTCTAAACAGTCTGATTTTTACTGCCTTTTTGGGCATCAGTACCATAGTAGAAAACTTATCAAAAAATATTTTATTTCCTAGGAATACCTATAGTATTTGGAATGCCAAAGGTTTGCTACAGAAATTCTCTTTGAATGCACTATTTCTGAGAATACCAGAGCTGTTTGTGTAAATCATGGAATTCCTGTTATCCAGTGTACAGGTGACATCTTTGTAATACATATGGGGTAAATTCCACTGCAGTAAATAAAGGGGAAAAAGTTAACCTTACCATATTGTAGAGAATGAATGAATACATGAGCAACGTTTTCTAAAAAGGAAACTAATTTAAAAGGAAAAATTACATATTTCCTGTTTTAATATAATGCCTAAATATATTACTTTGCAGCACTTTTTCTTTGCCCTCCCAACAGATTTAAGTCTTTCTCACTGAAAGTGAGTAATAGAAGTGTAGTTTTGAGCTTCTTAAAAAATGGTGAAAAAAGAAGAATAACTGTTGAATCAAGTATTATTTATCAGTCAAGGCGCATTGTCCTAAAGTAAAAGAATGCATTTTGGATAGGTGAAAGATAACAAAATAAGGTGTAAGTAGGGTAAGATGTTCTAGCGATTCGCTTGGGAAATTATGTGATCTGAACTGCAAGCCAAGAAGAAGCAAAAAATCAATCTAGGGATTTAATTTTTGGACATTTCACTTAAATGGCAGAGATGCTTTGTGTCAGGAAATGAGAAACATATCAGATGTGAATTTTATGTTATCAAGCCCATATTTTCATGTGCAGCATGTTTATCCCTTGATAGCCATCAAAGAAAAGTTTTCAAGATATTTTCAGTACAGTAGAACAACAAATCACATTGCATTTGAAGAACAACAAAAAGACTATTTGTAGTTATAAAGTTAAAAACCTATACTGTAGATGTTAACCAAATTTAACTTGCATTTTAAATGATGTCTTTAATTTTAATAAAACTTTAATTATTTGAAAAGCAGTACAAAACTGAATTTGTGTTGAATTCCTAAAAAAAATTGTAATTTCCATAGGCAATGCAGGCTTCCTCTATAAAACCACAAAAGTAATAGATTAATATGAATCTTCTCAATAAGCAGACGTTCAGATGATCCAGCTTCTGCATATAAAAGCATTCTTGAAATAATTCTCATTTTTGTATAAAAGTAAAACCATGTTGCTACAGTCCAATTTTCAAAGGTTGCCACCTGCTGTTAATAAAATATTTTACAGATATATTTACAAATCAAATGCACACAGAGTTTTATTCGCCATTTGGTAAGTTTATTTATTTACTTTATTAATTCTGGATTAAAATCAGTGTGCTTATAGAAACCATAGCCTAAATAACCTTTTTAACAAGCTATACTTGTGCAAATGATTGTACATGAATAACAGATTTAATTTATCTGCATCTAGACTGACATTTACTAAAGTGTCTCAGATTTAAATGGAGACAGTGGGTAATTTACCAAAATTTTATAAAATTATGTACTGATTTACACTGGGTAAAGACCAAGCAAAATTGGAAAGTACTGTACAGAGACATTTGTTCAAAATATAAGCAAATTTCATTATTTTTCTGCTTTTCTTCCATAGCCCTAAAATATCTCCAAAAAGCTATTTTCTTCCCAATGTTTTTTTTCTACGTAAACCATTGACAACATGAGAAACTAACGTTTAATTTTTTTTTTTTTGTATTAGCATTACTTTACATAAGACCAGATCCTCAGCTCTGTAAACCTGTGTAATATTTTTGTAAAGGGTATGAAGCTGCACCTTCTTTTATCCCCCAGAGGTCTATAGACTTACAAAAAGGTTAATTATAGCTGACTTTAAATTGTGGAAGCAAAAGGAGAATAAAGCCTTTTTCTAGTACAGTGGCTGATCTTAATAAGATACTATGAAACAGATCTGTTTACTGACTGAAAATCTTGACTGGACACTTTTTGGTTTGTGTTCTACATTATCTGAACATTATGCAAGATTTTCTTCGTAGTTCCTGAGTGATTCTTTTCAAATGGTTTAGGCAGGGACTGAACAACATTTGTAGAAGCTGAATATAAGCAGCATTAAGGAAGGGAGACTCAGAATTATCATCTGAACATTGGTTTCTCAAACAGCTTGGTATCTGGACAGATTTTGAGTATCTTTCTTTGTGATTTGTTTTTATTCACAGTTATAAATTTTAAACCTGGCTTTTTCTTCCATTTTGTAATATTCTGGGAATGAAAAATAAATATATGAAGGTATTTTGGTTTCAGTGATTTGTCCTTTGTTGCATTCCAAATGTCTAAAGTTGAATTTCAGCCTAGTAGGTTGGCAGTACTCTGCACTCAAAGTATTTTTCTGGGAAGGATAACTTTGGAAAATTGGAAACAAATCAGAGAAAATAAAAAAACCTTCTAGGTTTGGTAAGCGGCTAGTCACTCAGGAGTCACTGCAGAAAACTTACACAAAATGAATGAACACTAGCTATTACATGGCAAATTGATCAGAAACTTTAGAAGAGCATGTAGGAAGAATGAGGTAATTTCCATCAAAAACTAAGAGATATGAGAGTAAAGAACAAAGTACAGCATTATTCAGGACAGAAAACTTCTGTAAATTTATTTTTATAAAAATAGGACCATGTTTTTATGACAGCTTTAAGAATATATTAGGCTCCAATAATAGAGTATTGGTTTCCAGAAATACTGAATTCCATAACAATTAAACCTATAGTGACTCTATGTATGTTTCCAATATTAATCCTTTACCCAGATTTCACTCAAAAGAGAATTTTCTCATAAGCATATTGTCAGTGTTAGGAAACCTAATACAGGAACTGTTCAGATCAAAATATTACTGAAAACAATGCTAGACTATCTTGTTTGTTAACAAAAGGATAACAGACCACAAGTGCTACTAAAGATTAGCTAATGATTTCCTGCTGAAGCTAGAAGTTTTCTTCAGAGCAATACTAGCTAGATAAGATAGAATATGAAAAAGTAGAAGATTCAAATAATTGGCAACAGCTAAATAATAAAATTAAACCTTTTTGTTTTGTTTTGTCTCTGATTACAACACTATTCTTTTAAGACATTCAAAAGCATTTTTTCTGTTGTCTTTGTTTAAGATAATATTGCCTGTGGCCTTGAATTGGGATTCTCAAGAAGAGCTGTAGTTCTACCAACATCTGAGCTACTGTGTGCCTTAGGCTAACTTGCTTCACCATCATATTACCCTTTTCTGCCTAGATAGATGGTAAACTGTGAGGTTGTGCATCTCTTGCTATGTCTGTGTGCAGTACAGAGCTTCCACAGATTCCAAGGGAGTCAATTGCCTCTTGGAGATGCACATCCTCTCTCCAGTAATGTCAGAAGGCTGTGCTTCTGGACCACTGACTTTGTTGAGTGTGCTTAGGTGGGATGAATCCAGGCCTGTCATTACAGGGGTACAACGTGGTAAATTTGAGTACATGCTCTGTGTGGGAAGATATTGCTGAAACACATCATCAGTGAAAGAGATCTGCTTTTTATTTGACAATTACTTCAAATTTACCTCAGTATTTGCTGTTTGCTTCTAAATTTTATCAGTGCTCTGTGATTTTGTACAGCGAAACCACATTGTCTGTGGCTGTGTTATGAATTAATTGTGCCATAGTAACAGAAATACTTGAACTGGTCTGAGCAGAGCCAGCAGGGTCAGCAATGCTTTTTAATTCAGATATGATACCACTGTAGTGTGACTGTGTCTTCATGAGCAACATGGGTTGGAGCCTCACAGATGCTTTAATGTGGGTGGATGTCTGATGAGTAAGCTCTGTCAGATATGCTTTAGCTTTGGGAAGAACTGGTTCATATTTTTAATGCACAGCATTGCTTGATCCAGGATATTTTTAAAAGGCATTGAAAAGCCAAGGGTCATACAGGGACCAGGAAAACTTCTTTACCTGGTCTAAGTGATACCAAGTTGCTCCCACATCTCTTTCCTGATAACTCTGGGTCTTGGGAGTGTTTTTTACTTTGAATACAACACACAGGTCCACAGTTTATCTCTGGCACTAGCCTGAAGTTGAAATATAATCTTGAATTCTGAAAGCTGTAATGCAAAAGCACACTAGTACCTTTCCAAGTGGATGAGAAATCTCTGATATTACCTGTGACTTGCTAACACAAAGGAGAAAATATGCTGTATATGTGTGCCTATAGATGCACATTTATATTTTTTTTCGGAAAAAAAAACCAAAACACATTTAGCATTTGGTATGTGGAAAAAAGTAAGAGTTTAAGTTCTGAGGATCAACACCTAAATGTTGATTAGTGAACACAACATATTTGTAATGGTCACAGCTGCATGATAAATATACCTCTCAGAGAGCTCTAAGCCCTGGCAAATTTATATAATTTATAATATTACCTCCTTATTATGTTAATTTACACTTCCTAAAACATAACATTTCTTTTGTTTATAAGGTCATAATAGAATGGTAATTGCATTTGCTTATGCCACCAGATGGCTTATGTTTATCAAAATCTGGCTTTTCACGTTTTAACACTGTCCCGATGCATTCACTCTTTGGGCATATCTGAAGCAGGGCTAGTATTCTAGATTATTAACATAACTGACTTTCTTTGGGTTTTACCATTAATGGATCTCTTGCTTTTTTAGCAGCACCAACTGTCTTGATTTACGATTCAGGAATGCTGATGGTGAGGCAAATTTAGCAAGCGATTTTTCTGCCCAACTGTGATTCATATTAGTATTACTGAACCATCTGCTAGGTATTCTTTGTCCTCTACAAAGAGAGGATACAGCTTTGTGCAAAAGTCTACTCAGTTCTTTTGCTCTCACCTCCATCAGCAGAAGTACAAAACAGGGAAGATGGACGATTTTATGGGTTAGATAATGGGATGGGCAAAATCTGTAGTCTGTCCCTGCCTCTGCTAGAGATTTCCCATGCAACCATGGGTGAATCATTGAATTGCTTTCTGCCTTATCACACCATCTGCTAGACCGAATTTCCCTTCTCTTTTCTTTTTCTTGCTTTGTAACCACTTTGCTGTAATACAGTGGGATTACATATTTTTCCAGGAATACATATAATAATAATAAAAAATTCTTGGCTTTTCTCTGATGAACTTGGAAGGAATTAGATTTCAGTAACTAGCATGTCAGTGCTGTAAGCTGTGAAACTACTTCAGCCAGAGGTTTTCTGTTAATTCAGTTTACTCAAAAATCTTAAACTGGAATCTACAGTAAAATATGAAGAGAAAAGGAACCTGTAGTTGTGACCATATGAAAATAAAACATGAAGAATTTGCTGAAGCTTTTTTTCCCCCATACAATTCTGTTACTACAAAATTGAGACAATATTTTCTCCCTTTAAATGGTATTGTGATAAGCAGTAAAAGGTTATTTTGTTTTATAGCCACTCAGTCCCACAATATTGACTATACTTGCTTAATTACCAACTTGTACTGAAACACATTTCAAAGAAATAACCTGCTTTTTGGTCTTTTGAATATAGAGCTCTCATTTAGCACCTTTAACACATTTAATGTTTCAACTGTGGTTTCAGAACTGATTCTTTCACATACAGATTCAATTTTAGAAAAATATTTACAAATTTTAGTGTAAGATAAGCGTCATAACATATCACATTTTAAGTATCATCATCTGATAGATGCTTAAGGTTATTGATCAAAATAGAGCAACAAAGAAAGATTCAAACCTATTAACATTGCAGCTACAACCAAAAGAGTGCTTGTTTTCTGGAGAAAATAATGGCACAGGTTGTATGAAATAAATACCTTCACAAAGACAGATATACAAAAATGTCAGGGGTCTCATTTTTGCATTTTTTTTAACTTCAAACTTAAAACTAAACCAAATTATGTTAGCATACACGTCTCAGGAAAAAATGGGGTAAGATTAAATGCTTGTTTTTCTGATATAAAATATCTTTTTTATGTTAATGCTTGTATTTAAATTCTCATTTATAAATGACAGCGCCTTATGAAATATGTCCTGAAGACTATTTAATGTCAATGGTGTGGAAAAGGACCCCAGCTGGGGACATGGCATTCAATCGATGTCCTCTCAATGCCACAGGTAGAGTACTACTTCGAAATTTTATGATGACACAAAAAAGGAGTAATATTTTGCATTGCGTCTTAGAGAAATCATTAACAGACTCATGTAAAAATATGTATATGTGAATATATCTATATAAACTCCACGTATTTACTTATGCATATGCATGCACATATAAGCATGTACATGTACTGTCTCTTATAGCTTACAGGTATGCATGGGATATATATATATATGTATAAACATACATAAATGCATTATATTCAAAGCAAAAAAGCTGAGGAAAAATCAGTTTGACCGGACCTACCAGGAAAAGTGATAAAAAAGAAGCAAAACATAAAAATTTTTAAGAAAACAATGATTAAAAAGTGATCAAGTAAACACTGAAATGTTATTTGGAATCTTACACTCATCTCTATGTACTGATGATCATTACATGAAATTGTTTCTGTGTGTGGTTTTAAAATAGCATGAAATATACTTTAAATAAGGTTCGTTCTTACCAATATCTCTGACTTATACAAATATTTTCTGTCTTCTTTGCCTCTTACAGGCACCACTAGCAGACGCTGCTCTCTCAGTGTTCATGGAGTGGCCTTTTGGGAACATCCAAGCTTTGCTAGATGCATATCAAATGAGTACAGACACTTGCAGCATTCAGTAGGTGCAAAGCCAGCTTTAGTACTTGCTCTGTTTATTCATTACTAATAATTGGTGTGCAAAAAAACCTTATTTACTTTTAGATTTCTGATAAGAAATGCCACGAGGAAAATAGGCATGAGAAATAATAATTTATATTAATGGATATTATTTGGATCTTGTATATTGCTGGTGTTTGTGAAATAACCTTTGTCTTACTGTAGAAGTGGAAAAATGAATCAGCATCCCTTCTTTCATGTCCCCTGTGTGAAATTTTTGTAGGGCTAATTTTTTCAGAGGTAAGACATATTTTGATTTATTAGAAAATGAGATACAAATAAATTAGATTTTTTGGAAGAGTGACTTACTGAGAATTTTATAATACCATGAATTCTTTAATTGCAGATTAGGAAGCCAGGAATGATATTTCTTTTTGCTATCAAATTTAGAACTTTGCCTTTGAATGTAACAATAGGAAATGATTATAGGGTAAAGCTATTGCAGTGTCTTGAAAAAATAAAGTAACTGTAGATGAAGGATTATTATGTGGTGTTTTAAAGTATGCCTAAAGAAAAGTTTCTTTGTTGAGCATGTGCATTATACATTTATCTACTGCCTAAATATGTTTATATGCACAAGTGTAATACATTGGGAATTAGAAATATACCACCATGGTATATGCTAGGTGTATTGATTACAATCTACTTACATAGCCAAGGCGTTCAGCCAGGTTAAGAGTATAGTGGGAAACATGCCTTTGAAGTTTCTCATGGACAATGGTTTTTGCCTGCATGATATATTTTACTGACACTCTTATTACTCTGACTCCTTTTCCAAAGGCCACTGCTCCATTTATCATTCAGCAGAGAGACACTAATTCAGCCCTGTGCTTCATAAATTCCCAAGCTCTCAACCAAGTCCAGCATTTCTGTAACATGCTTAAAAATCTTTGGTGGCTTAAAGACCAGTAACCTGGCTGTCATCCCTCAAATCTGGATTGCTACTTAGAGAAGATTTTGATTAATTCCTTTGAGCTGCATTTCTGTTTCAGTAGATCTAACTTATTTGTGGCCTAGGATTCAGTTTCAGGGAAGGCCAAAGCAAGAATAATTTTTAAAACAAGACAGAATAGATTGTCGAAGGATTTTTCCCTACTACATAGAAACTTTTCTATTCTATACAGCTTTCTGCTTGTTTGTCTTTCCTCTTACTGTTCATGCACAAAAAACACATTGAGTTGGCTGTAACTAGTTTGCTTTTAATATTTCTGTTATTTTATTTCTTTTGCAACAGCTGAATATATTATGTCTAAGCTAGTTTTAAACTCAAACAGTAGGAAATACTGTTTCATGCAATATAGTGGTTTGACTTAACTGGCTAACGTTTGCTGAGGCACTGATAGTTTTTCAAGAGCTGCAAGTCTGCCTGGCAGGAAGAACAAAGGAAGGCATTTCTAACCCAGATCAGATTTATATTTTTGTCTATATTTCCTTATTCAAAATATAAATATTAATAGACCACACTGTGAAATGTTCTTTTTGCCAAAGAACATTTAAAAATAGGTAAAGTTTCTTTAAAATTACACAAGCACCTAAACATACCTTAATGCTGCACAAAATTTCAGTACAGCCTATATGTATACAAATTAAAGGAGAAAAGTGGATTTCTTTTACACTTGGGAGCTGTTCAAAAAGAAAACTGGCCTATCTTGCATCTTACTCCTTCTCAAAGTGAACAACACAGCATATTTAAAGAATCAGAGAAAACAGAGGTAACGACCTATAAGGTCATCGCCCTGCAAATGTAGGCTTGTCCCCCCACGATACATATGTCAGTTCCATAAATCCCTGAAAATAGGGCTTTATAAGGAAGCTACTGACAGACGGTGTTGCTATAATAAATATGTGTGCTTATGAAAGCATTTATGAGACGCCTTAGTGTGCTTAATTTACCAATAAAATTATTTTACTAACTCAGACCAGGAGTGGGGGTTGTCACTCAGTTCTGTGAGTGTTCCCATAAAATCTGAGTCTGAGCTGAATTCCTTTCATTTATTATCTGAAATACATAAAAGTAGGTCTTCAAAAAGTGATGTTTCTGAAGTTGATTTAAAGCAGTTGATATACGTACATATAATAGTTAATACATTAAAGCATAGAATACAGACAGGTGCCTGTCTCTTTGCCTTCCAAACAAGCCACATATGATCCAGAACCAGCCCAGAAATCATGTAGTAGAATTCACATGATGCTGTGCTTAAGAAAATATTCTATAAAGAAAAGTGTTTCATATGATAGGAGCCAGAAAATAACACATTGGCCACAGTCCATGCTAACCTGGCTACACAGGTGCTGGACTGGAAGCTTACAGTTACTCTAGTAAATAAAACTAAACAGGGTGACTGCCCAAGCTTAAAAACTGTCCTTGTAGTCATCTACACTGTTTAACTGTGTGTCTGTTAGCATACTTCCTGACATCATTTAAGACCATAACAGTGATCACTCTCCCAAACAATGCCTACCATACTTTAGAGGATAGCATAGCAGAGAGAGCACTGTCAGCAGGCATTAAAAGCATAGGTTTCTGGGACAGAGGAGGGATAAAGAGATTAACTTGAGGGAACCAGAATTCTTTGCTATATATAGTGTAGAATTTTACCACATAACCATAGGTGATTGACCCCTGAAGACTGTTTCCTTATTCTATGGAACTGCAGTAGGTTCACTGCCTCATGCACAAAGCTTTTATTTTTACAATTTTTTCTATTACTCACCTGGAAGTGACATGGGACAAAATTCCACCCTTAATAAGCAGTATTAAAGTAGCAGAAACCCAGCTAGTGCACTACATCTCCATTTTTTGTTGATGGGGAACTGAGTGAGACCAATTAAGCAGGAAATTTATGTCCAGTCTTCTGAGTTAGTGTCTAGCCACTTTTCCATCTTAATGTTCCTACCTCTCCATAGGACAGCACAGAAAATACCTGGCATGGTAAAAATATAACTACAGGGCCTCTGAAGAGGCTTATGCACTTGAACACGATGAAATAGCAAGGGAAATGGTTTGACTTGTGAAGATCTGCAGTTAGTTTACGTCTTTTGAGGGCACAGCGCCCTACGCAATTCGTATGTAGGAGCCTGAGTAAAAGCAGTTAATAGAATGATGCACTTCAGCTATGCCACAAATGTACAGCCTGCCCTTCTGTTAGTTTATTTTACCTTGTGCACTATGGAATACAGGTTCCTTTTAAAACTCAGGATGACAATTAGATCTCTTTGACTAATGGAACCAATTAGTCGTGAATAATTTATCCAACATTTGGTACAAATCAGTCATCAAATGAATTTAGCAAATACTGTTTGACCAGCTTACACAGCTGGTTGAGTAATATGAAAATTTATTCATTGAACATATTAAAGGACAAAAATGCCCAAATCCATGAAATAACCTTTGGGAAATTATTTGCTTAGCTCTAATAGTAATACTTAAAGAACCTAATCAGAATTATTCTTCTTAGAGCACTATAAGTAGAAAATGCAAAGTGGTAAATAGGCATACTCTGCCTCCTGGAATCATAACCTAGAAGATCAAGCAATGGTTTGAACAGAAAAAGAAACATCACAGACTATAGATCAGATTTTGTTGTAGTTTTCTTGCATTGTCGTAACGTGCTTGCAGTACCTGCAGCTTTGCATTAAGAAAACATTCTTGGTCAAGCATGGTGTTTCAGGACTGCTGACAGTCGTCCTTGCAGCTAAGAAGGAATATTTTTCCCAATAATGTGCAATTTGTTTAATGTGTCCTTGAGAAAGAGGAGATAACAACAAAGAAATTCTTCCAAGTGTCTTTTTTGTTGCGGATAGAGATGAAGGAAAGTCATATGTTTTAATAAAATCTAATGGCAGTGAATATCCTTTCTTCAGTTCCTTCTGGATAGTTCTTGGTCACATATTGATCACCAGATTTTAGTCAACAGGGAGGAATTTCCTTGCTTTCTCTAATTCCAGCATAAATTTTCAGAATTTGGAGGATTTTCTCCCCTCTGTTGGATAGACATGGTTTGGGTTTTCAGACCATTTTACCAAATCAATTACTGCTATAGCAGAAGTTGTTAAAACCTGTTCTCTGCCCTTGGCATATAGTTTCATTTTCTGAAAACTCCTTCAGTCTAACTAACACTTTTTAATCTCTTTAACGTGTATCTGTTGCTAGCTTAATGGACTGTTATATGTAGAAAGGCAGATTAGATGATGATCTAATGACCCAAACATAGTCTGTATAATATTATGAAGTATGCTCCTCATTACTAATTATCTCCTTTTGATCTGGAAGCAGAAAATGGTCTGCCTAATTATTAAATGTAGAATTGTTTGCTTTAGCTAGTACTTGGTTAATTTGGACTAGTGTCTTCTGAAGTGTGAGGTTTTTTACTTTATTTGAATAAACAGAGAAAAGTCTTTCCTGAGACAAAGAAATCTATTCATGCTGTGATTGGATATGAGTGACTGCCTGACCAAGAATAGAATGAGTGATTAGGAGCCCACAGGCCTATTTCAAATGGTACCCTCAAATAAGAATTAATTTGACTTTCATACTCTCTTGAAGCCTATCGAATTTGGTACACTACAAGGAATAAGACTAGGAAGTAAGACCCCAGCATTGGGAATATCCTACATTATCCTACTTCCAAGAGGCAAAGCTAAAGACTTCTTCATCTACTCTTCATTCGTTCTACAGATAATAGGCACCTAAATTAGAAAAAACAGCAAAAAACCTAAACAAAATAAAAAACCAAACTGACACAAGAATCCACTCATGCCCTCTTCAGCTGCCCAAAAATCTAAAAACCAGGAAACAAAAGACTTGAATGGGAGTCAATGCAAATAAAAATGATATTAAAATAGTTAATTATGGAAGAGCAGTGAGTTTTCATAGCTTATGAGCTCTTCAGGAATTGATTATGGAAGCTTTTATTACTATTTTAAATTAGTACCATTAATGAATAAGATCTCACCATGGAG